TGAGGAAAGAAAGGGGGACCGAGCCTTAACGGGACATGCATTCACCAAATTCTCATAACAGGAAAGATAAGCACAAAAGACATTACGAACCCTTACATGCCCCCACGGGGTAATTCATGATTCTTCGCAGGAAACAAAAGCTGATGCTAAGGGGAATCCTATCTACATCCTTCCGTGGTGGACACCATCATCAACAGTGGGCCACGGGAGGCCAGCGCCAACCCCATCCAGATCAGCGGTGGCGACGGCCGGACAGCGCAGCTCTGCTCCGAGTGCGGCGAGAGCTCGGGGGCACGTAGCTATCGTCGCTCGTCTCCGGAGTCTCGTAGAGCTCAGGCGAGCTGCTGGACTCGCAAGGGCTGCTGCTGCTGGAGTGGTCGCGAGCGGAGCGCGCATCAGTCTCGCGCTCCTCTTCGGAGCAGCACTCCAGGCGGCGGCCCTCGGCATCGAAGACCTTGAAGAAGAGCGTGGAGACGCCGTCGTACTCGAAGTGGATCGCGAGGGCGCCCCTCGCATGGCAGACCCACGCGATCTCGCCCCAGCCGTGAGTCATGAAGATCTTGCCGGTGGGGACCGCTTCGATCTCCGCTCCGGTCGCCGAAGCACTGCAATCGGTGTGCTGCAGCCACAGCTCGAGAGGCCCCCTCGGCGGCATCACATCGGAGAAGAACCGCGGGAAGCGGATCCAGGAGCTTGGAGGCATCGGCGCCCACAGCACTAACTCGCGCGAGGAGTCCGCCGCGTGAACCCCAGGGGTGACGGCACGCGTCGCCGTGGCACGGCGACCCCGGATGCGGCGCGGGCGGCGCTGCTCGTCGCTTTGTCCTCCTAAGCCCTTGGCTCGGGCGTACAAGGGCAGCGGGTACCCCGGAGGAGGCCGCTCGCACCAAGGCCTCAACACCACCTGCATCGCCGCTTCATCACGGCGATGGATCGACCTTTTCTTCGGTGAAAGATGCACCAGATCATCACGGGGAGCCTTTCCTTTCTCTTCAGTAGAAAACTTTCTGATGGGCTCCATTGTTGTCAGTAGTGGAGCAAGGAGGAAGAAGCAAGCAAGCAGGGAAGAGATGGGCGACGGGGGCTCCGCCCCCCTCCCCATTTATAGCAAGAGAAGGCCAACCGACATCTCCCACGATCGCAGGTAATGATGGTTTTCCTTGCATGTCGCAGGGACTTGTCAAGTCGTGCAGTTGCCGAGGCAACATGGGGAAGCGGAGACGCCCACGACCGATCAACCGCCATGCGTCAACCAAGGCCGCAGGCTTTAGGGGCCCGCGGCGCTCCGTACTTGGCCCTTGGCTTCGCCGTGAAGCCAAGCCCGAGCACACCTTGGGCCCGGGGGCTACTATCGGTGTTCTGGGAACGGGAGTCCCCAGACTTGCCTGCTTGTGGCCCACGGCGTGGCTAAGCCATCAGGCCGTACGGCCCATCTTCATCAACAAGGCATCCAAGACCCTCGCGAGGATCCAAGCCTCGCGAGGCAGACGACGCAAGACCTCCTCTAGAGTAGCCTAGCCAGGCAGGCTCACGAGGAGCGGAGATATCAAGGCGGGGCAAACCTCACGAGGCCCTCATGACGCGAGCCATGACGCATGACACCAGGCGGGCGCCAGCGCGTGCAGTGTCCTTGTTTCCTCTTTGGTGTTAAGGAGGCAGCGCAGGCGAAGAGTACCGAGGCATCAAGCAAAGGTTGCTATATCGGTGCAACAAGACCAAGACCAGGAGGACGGCAAGATGGAGGTCATCGTGGAGCCCAAGACGACGTCACCATCAGAGCTTTTCGTAGGCGAAGACCACTTTTGTCAGGATAGCTTGTACTAGTTGTCCCCTTCAAATTGGGCCGCCGTTGTTGGCTCCCTTCCCGCTTGATATTTAGGAAGAGGACTAGGACCTATATAAGTAGAGTTAGCCACCACAGGCAGGAGGAGGACGAGGAGAGAAAACAGAGCCTCAGGCATCTGATCTTAACTTGATCCAACCCGATCGAGAGCCTACTCACAAGAACACCTCAACCTCAGGAGGTTGTTCTTCCCTTGTACTGTTCATCATCATCCCTAGTGGCAATCCACCACCACCACACTGGAGTAGGGTATTACACCACAACGGTGGCCCGAACCAGTATAAACCTCGTGTCTTTCTGTGTTGCGAGTTTGTCGAGTTCGTCCGCGAGATCTTAGTGAGCTAGGGCGTAGATCAGTAGGAAGGAAAGACTTCGCGCGCACCCCAGTGTTTGAACCTTAAGGGTTTGCCGGAACCCCACATCCGACAAACGGCTTTGGTGTTAGTCATGGAATTTAGTATTTTACAGGAAGCTCATAATTTTTTGAAAATGTTACACAGTAAGCTTTGATAAGTTCTTCGTAAGTGGTAGAAAATTCAGAATTGTTGGAGCAGTGTAAGTCCCTGTTCAAAATTATTCTTTGATGGTTGTACTCTTAAGACAAAATCGTTGCTTGCTTCATGCTTTGAATGTCTTTTATTTGGATTCTTATTGGTTGATAAGACTTCATATATGGAAGTATACACTGTAGCAAGTGATTAAGTAATTTTCCCATGAGTTTTCACAGTATTTACATGTATGGATTATCATTGTTTTGAGGACTAACCTATTCATGAGCCTATCAAAGTTTGTTGATGAAACTTTCAGATTTAAAAGAACCATCTTGTTAGAAGGAACTGAACGAGCAGTAATAAGAACATAAGCTAGGGCCACAATTTTCTATGCTTGGGGATGCCAGGCATCCACACTCTTCATCAAATTCAGTAAAACTTCCGTCAACTCTTTTGTGTATCTGCATGCTATGTGATGCCAAGCATCCACACTCTTCATCAAATTTAGTAAAACTTTCGTCAACTCTTTTGTGTATCTGCATGCTTCTTGGAGCATCATTTCCTTTTTCTTTTCCTTATCAAATATAAATATTGGATGCATTAGCAACCCCCTCAAAGATAACTATCTGGAGGCATGCACTCGTCACTTAGAGGGAACATGTGCTCGTCGGTCGGAGTCCTCACATGTGCTCGTCCATCGGAGTCGTCAACATAGGATTACATGAATTGGTGCTCGGCAAGTTGGTCACGTGGGACGGGGCGGCCGGCAAGTTGGTCACGTTGAACGGCTAAAACATCACCACTATCGGTCGCACGACACTCGTCATGTCGGTCATCTCCTCCCAGGCCATTTACTCTCTCACGCCTCTCATTGTTCTGCCAAGCACGCTCAACAGCCTCAATAAGTTGCAAAGGGCGTTCCTATGGTCCGGATCGGACAAGACAACGGGAGCCAAATGCAAAGTGAACTGGAAAATGGTCTGTAGGCCAAAGGAGTATGGTGGCCTAGGGGTACTCAACACCGACAAGTTTGCATGTGCCTTACATCCTCGATGGTTATGGTACGAATGGAAGGCTCCCCACAAGCCTTGGGTAGATTTTGGTAACCCTTGCACTGACGATGGCCTCGAGTTTTTCTACGCCTCTACAATTATCACTGTTGGTGACGGCGCAAAGACACCGTTCTGGGAATCTCCTTGGCTGCTTGGGCAGAAGCCCAAGGATATTGCACAGTTAATCTTTGAGGCCTCAAGGCGAAAAATTGGAAGGTGCGGGAGGCTCTCAAAGAAAATGCTTGGATTCTCAAAATCAATCCCAACACCGTGGTCACAGTTGGCCACATTCGTGAATTCTTCACTCTTTGGATACTCATGACTTCCACCTTGATGAGCAAGCCGAAGATGATATCATTTGGAAGCACGCGAATGATGGGATCTACTCCGCGGCCACCGCGTATAAGGCTCAGTTCCTTGGGTTAATTCTCTCACCCATGGATCACATGGTTTGGAAGGCTTGGGCTCCCCCCAAGGTTAAATTCTTCGCTTGGTTAGCTATACAAGGCCGCATTTGAACCGCCGATCGGTTGGAGAGACGCGGTTGGGCAAACTATGGACTTTGCCAACTACGCAAAAGAGAACAAGAAACATGGCCACGCCTCTTCTTCAAGTGTCGGCACATGCTTAGGCTTTGAAGAGCCATCATCGAGAAGTTTGGGCTACATCACGTCAACACCTCCGAATGGCATCTTGATGATTCCATCAACGCGTAGTGGGACAAACGGACCGACAACCGACACCCAAACCGACATGCCATGACCTCCCTCATCATGCTCATCTCTTGGACTGTTTGAAACGAGCTACATCACGTCAACACCTCCGAGTGGCATCTTGATAATTCCGTCAACGCGTGGTGGGACAAACGGACAGACAACCGACACCCAAACCGGCATGCCATGACCTCCCTCACCATGCTCATCTCTTGGACTGTTTGGAACGAGCGGAAAGCCAGAGTATTTCGCAAAAAATTTGCACCACCGCCCGTTCTCCTAGGCTTCCATCCTTGAAGAAGCAAAGTTATGGGTCACTGCCGGTGCAAAAAAACTTGTGACTGTAAATTTTAGCGAGTAATTGTCATGCCGTCTAGCGTGGGGTGTTATGTACAACTCTAAACTCTATTCTCTTCTTATTTAAGAGATGAGGCAAATCTTATGCCTCCATTTCGAACAAAAAATGAATTGGTGCTCGGACAAGACAATGGCCTGACTGAAGTGTTGCGTGTTGTACGGCCACGCAGTCTATATCATTGTTCTTGCAGCAATGAAGATATGCGACGCGTGACAAAGTGAAAAGACAGCATCATCCAGGGATTTTGGACAACTCAAACCGTATCCATTCCAAAAGCAATTCCCAAATAATTGTACAAACATGCTGACCCCAGGCACCCCATCCAGAAAAACAAATGACAGTCTATCAACCAAGGAACCCATGACTGACACAAATCAAACTTTGCCCAACATAAACATCCATCCCACAGAACACAATGAAAATTTGTGAAAAGGAAGATCAACTTTGACCATAAAATGAATAGAATGACACTCATTTGACAATTCACTAGTTCGAGTATAGCGATGCTCCTAGAGCATAGGATGAAATAGCCGGCCCTTGTTTTCACTCTTCAGCATCCTTCTTATCATCTACTGCAGGAGTCTCCACTTTCTCAGTTTGTTCCTCCTTTTTGACCTCCGTCACAGTTAACTTCTCTACCAGCTCGGCAGCAGAGGAGACTTCCTCGCTCTCTTTGTCCTCATTCTTTCCTTGCTGCTCAGCAATCTCGTCTACAAGATCCTTGAATTTCTTGCAGTCTGAAATAGAATCAAGCAAACATTAGGATGACATGATATTTGCTAGCCTCCTGACTAAAATAGCATAATGCCTTGTTTTCTCATGTAGGTGTGCCAGCCACACAAAACATAGCAACGCTCACTCTATGTACGCATTTAAATCTCAAGTCTTAGAAACTTACAATCTCACAAATTCCAAACTAACTACTAATGACTCTCTCACAAATTTGTCAACACCATCAATCAAATATCCTACAATGCTAAGTGTCATCACTACACAGGAAACCTTCATGAGAAATTTTTGGACCACAAGCCCTTGAGCTTTCAGCAGTGTCAATTACATCCATACTCTTGATAATTCACTTACTATGTTCTTGTAATATACTTTCACAGTTCCATTTATAGGTCCAAAAACTTGCAGTTTGCAACCCATGGTCACTGCAACTTGATTAGCTAAGCTTCTAAGCAAAAATGCAATGGATGTGGAAAATAATGTGGATCATTTAGATGCAAGCACACATTGCTGGGATATTGTAACATTAATTAGCTAAAATACTGACATAAAGCTGAATAGAAGTGCGAATGAATGCAAATTATTTTAGTGTGACAATGCTTGGAGCAATATGGGGGTCACATGATGATCGATTTCATATCTGTAGTCTACTGCCAACTTGTATATTCTGCTATTTGAAAAATGAAAAAATGAACATAGGCCTACATCACAAAACTTACAAGTTTTATATACCTGCAAAAATAAATTTTCAATTTTGAAGATCTAAACCACAATTTGCTACAAGTTTAGGGCCTCTTGTGTAGTCTAAATTCATCAAATTGACAACCAGGGTCACCACTACAGCAAATAATAGTACAGTTTTATATATATAATCATCAAAATCCTTTTTGCTTAAGGTGAATAGTTATCTCGTCAGAAAATGTGAACACTTGAAATACAGCACAGCCTCTAATTGGCTCAATTAATTAGCGAGAATGACAAAGAAAAATCCTACGGAAGTGCAAAAGATCAAGGGGTAAGGCAGTGCTATACATTACTGACTACTGAGTACTGAGGTTAAGTACAGGCAAAGCAATGACATGAAAATCAGTTGCTGAATGATAAGTATGCAGGAACAGCACTACACTAATGATCTTTCATGGCAGGATAGCTTTGTGGCATTCAGGGCGTACAAGCAACATATAGCTAGGTGGTGCACCGGACAAAAAGGGCAGCCCCAGTGCATGTAGCTCCCGCTTGCGCAGGGTCTGGGGAAGGGTCCGACCACTTTGGGTCTATTGTACGCAGTCTTTCCCTACATTTCTGTAAGAGGCTGTTTCCAGGACTTGAACCCGTGACCTCATGGTCACAAGGCAGCAGCTTTACCACTGCGCCAAGGCTTTAGCTAGGTGGTGCACCGGACACTGTCCAAAAATATATTCATTACTATAATTGATGCAAATTAGTGTGTGACATCCCAAAACTAAAAAAGATGCATGTATATTTTATATCTGATGCCGTTCTACTATGGAGTTTAAAGTCAAAGGCCGGTATAACACACTAGATCAACCTGAAGTACTGCTTAGTTAAACCCACAACCCACAACAAACTTGGCTTGTGAATTCATAGATCACCAACCCTTTTGAATGATACGCGCTATATATAAAAATAAAACAGAAAAGCTGCACAGATGATAGGGTGTTCAGTGCTCACTCTCCACGGATCCAAAGCGGATGGCGAACATCTCCTCCTTGAGCTCGCAGTCGGCAAAATCCAGAGCGTGCCACACGCACGACTTGTCGCTCCCAGCGTGCTCCTGCATCTTCGTCGTGGCCACAACTGCAAACCAAATATCAAGATGTCAAAAAAACATCCCCATCTATCTAATCTGTAAATCTAAATCACCACCGAAAATTATCCCCCGAAAAACAACAAGCAAAGAAGTACCGAGGTGATTGGCGCAGATCTTGAGGGTCTTGGCCTGTCGCATGACGAGGCGGACCTTGGCAGTCTCCTTGTGTTTGAGCAGCTTGACGGCACCCGTGCCCCTCTCCTTCCACTGGCCCCCGTCCTTGTCAAATCGATACAGCTTCGCTTTCCTACGGACACAAGAAGAAGCACCGAACCAGACGCGTCAGACTTAGATCAAAGCCGGGAACGATCGGATCGGGACAGATCGAGCGAAGTAACGGCGGAGGCGGCGGCTTACATGTCGAGGAGGACGTCCTCGTCCTCTTCGCCGGTGGTGATGGCCACCTCCTCGAGCTTCACGATGGGAGCGATTTGGGCGCCGGTGTCCTCTTCCTCGCCGGCCGCCGCGGCCTCCTCCTCCTCCTCGCGGTGCTCCGCTGGATCGGCCATTGCTGGTGTAGGGCTTGGGGCGGCGCTCGCTTGCTGTACCAGAGTAGTTGCGGCCGCCGCGGTGGAGAGGAGAGAGAAAGCCGAGGGGTTATAAAAGCAGCGTGGGGCTGGAACGTGCGCGCTGGAAAGAGGTCGGATTGGGGAAAGCACTAGTCTCTGCTTTTAATGAAGCAGTTGGTAGTCTCGCTTTTAAATTTTTTTTCATCCCATCACTTTCGTTCGGTTTTTTTTGTAGGTTAACCGTCGTAGATTTTTTTCGTCCTCTTCCCTACTTTATCGGTTTATTTTCACTTCACCCTCTCACACAATGAAAAAAACTGAACGGATCAGAACTTTCCATACCGACGCAAATTATTTAGTAATGTCTTTATGTAAAAGAATCAATCACAATCATTCTCTAAAGATCAAATCTAAATTAATTAATCTTCATAACGTTTGTTTCCTTCCGAATCACGTCCATAACTTTCCTTCCTTATTTAGGCAGAAACTGTTTGGTAGCAGAGATTAGGAAGCTTTCTATAAGTGTAGTAATAGGAAGTATTCTTTTTCTTGATGATTCGTTTTTATACTGACGCAAATTATTTAGTAATGTCTTTATGTAAAAGAATCAATCACAATCAATCTCTAAAGATCAAATCTAAATTAATTAATCTTCATAACGTTTGTTTCCTTCCGAATCACGTCCATAATTTTCCTTCCTTGTTTGGGCAGAAACTGTTTGGTAGTAGAGATTAGGAAGCTTCCTATGAGTGTAGTAATAGGAAGTATTCTTTTTCTTGATGATTCGTTTCCATGCATGATGATAGTAAATTAGGCCAACATTCACCACTATTTATCAACGTCATCAATCGTATCCATTCCTACCAGTTTTTAAGGGAATCTGCTCGCTATGTCTTTTTTAAGGAGATCCGCTCGCTAAGTCGTCGTCGCACGTTATTTTCACAAGCAATTCCCCTAAAAAAGGCGTGGGTATTGGTAGTTGAACGCCCGCTAGGTTTTCCGCCTATCCCTTCCTCGCGCTGTGCTGCCGCACCCGCCGAATTTCCAGCCGCCCGAGCCCGTTAACTTCACCAGCCATCGGGTCGACTGCCCCCGCCCCAAACCCCTATCCCCGAGCACTAGCTATCGCCGCGTTGCCGCCCCAAGCTCCACGCCACCGGGAACGAATCAAGCGTCGTCCCGACACCGCCGTCGCCGGCCCAGCACCTCCAGCCTTGCATGGACAGCTTCAATGTGCAGTCTCCCTTGCTGCCTCACCTTCTGCCAGCGCATGCAGCGGCGGGGTTGGACGCGTGCGTGCTTGCTAGCTTGCTCTCCGTGCGTACGTACTTGCTCTGCGTGCGTCGCACCGGCCAATGCGCATGATGCGTGTGTGCCTGCTTTTCTGTATGTGTATGCCAGCGTGATGCGTGTGTGCGTTGCTGTGTGTGTATGATATAGATGGCCCTAGTGTGTGCATGCTATGCTCTGCTCTCTGCTGATCTATGTGTTGGTGCTCCTGCTATATGTTCATGCCATACAAATGAAATTTCTGTTAATCTTCTGACATGTTGAGTTGGTTCTCTCTGTCTTCTGAGGGGGTGAATGCAAAGCAGTCTATTAAGCCAGGCACTATTGCTGAGCTAAATTGACAAAAAATATTGGTAGCCATAGTTGTAGTTTAAGTAGTAGCGAGTTGTCTGATATGTATAAAGAGCCCGTTGCAACTGAGCCCGTTGCTAAATTGACAAAAAAGGTCGCCAGTGTCACTTGATATGTATGAGAATATTAAATGTATTATTAACATGATTAATATTGAACTCTTAAAGTTAATGTGGCCCCGTTGCAACGCACGGGCGTTCTTCTAGTCCTGGTAGGGTTTTGAGTCGTGTCTCCGAGGAAAGCATTAGTAGGGTGTTTTTTTTGCGGGATGCATTAGTAGGGTGTTGATCTGAATTCATTTTTCTAAGTTTATTATATGGGGTTAATGTCAGAAAATTCATACTTAAAAAACCATCACACATTTATTTATTTATAAATTTATTAGTAGATACTTAAATCACGGACACTATCACATGTTCAAGTTTTGGTGTAGTTTTGTGAAAACATTATGGTGCAGCAGGGAGTATGATTCCAATAAATCCCATGTGCTGAAAGTGTGTTTATCCAGAATACTTTCTAAAAAATGTTCGAGATTAGTTTCCTATTAGTGCAACATGAAGTGTGATTCCCTACTAGAATCGTGTAGGTGGCCGCGCGTGCCCGTGGTGGATGACTCGAGGATGATGCTGACGATCCACTCCTACTTCTTGAGTTTGTGTTGGTTTTTTCCTTGAAGAGCAAAGGATGATGCAGCAAAATAGAGATAAGTATTTCCCTTCGTTTGAGAATCAAGGTATCAATCCAGTAGTAGACAACCCACAAGTCACTGAATACCTGCACAAACAATCAAACAATTTACACCCAACGCGATAAAGGGATTGTCAATCCCTTCACAGTTACTTGCAAAAGTAAGATCTGGTAGAGATAGATAAACAGAAAAGTAACTATTTTTGGTATTTTTGGTTTATAGATCAAAAAGTAAAAGATTGCAAAATAGTAGATCGGGAACTTATATGATGGAAAATAGACGCGGACGCCATAGGTTTCACTAGAGGCTTCTCTCGAGATAGTAAAAATAATACGGTGGGTGAACAAATTACTGCCGAGCAATTGATAGAAAAATGCAGAGTTATGATGATATCTAAGGCAATGATCATGAATATAGGCACCACGTCCGTGTCAAGTAGACCGAAACGATTCTGCATCTACTACTATTACTCCACACATCGACCGCCATCCAGCATGCGTGTAAAGTATTAAGTTCATAAAGAACGGAGCAACACATTAAGTAAGATGACATGATGTAGAGGAATTAACTCAAGCAATATGATGAAAACCCCATCTTTTTATCCTCGATGGCAACAATACAATACGTGTCTTGCTGCCCCTATTGTCATTGGGAAATGACACTGCAAGATTGAATCCAAAGCAAAGCACTTCTCCCATTGCAAAAAAACCAATCTAGTTGGCCAAACCAAACCGATAGTTCGAAAAAAATTACAAAGATATCAAATCATGCATAAAAGAATTCAGAGGAGATTCAAATAATATTCATAGATAAGCTGATCATAAATCCACAATTCATCGGATCTCGACAAACACACCGCAAAAAAGTATTACATCGAATAAATCTCGAAGAACATCAAGGTAAACATCGAATTGACAATCAAAGAGAGAGAAGAAGCCATCTAGCTACTAGCTATGGACCCGCAGGTCTAAAGTAAACTACCCACGCTTCATCGGAAGAGCAATAGAGTTGACGTGGAAGCCCTCCATGATCGAATCCCCCTCTGACAGGACGCCGGAAAAGGTCCCTAGATGGGATCTCACAGGTACAGAAGGTTGCAGCGGTGGAAAAATGTTTTCATGGATGCCTCTGGTTGTTTGGGGATATAAGGATATATATAGGCGAAAGGATTAGGTCAGGAGGCGCATGAGGGGCCCACAAAGGTGGGGGCACGCCCTACCCCCTGGGCGCGCCCTCCGTCCTTGTGGACGCCTCGTGGCTCCTCCGACTTCATATCCAAGTCTCCTGGTTGTCTTTTGGTCCAAAAAAAATCATCGCGAAAGTTTTATTCCATTTGGACTCCGTTTGGTATTCATTTTCTGCGAAACTCAAAAACAGGGAAAAATAGGAACCGACACTGGGCTCTAGGTTAATAGGTTAGTCCCAAAAATAATATAAAATAGCATATAAATGCATATAAAACATCCAAAATAGATAATATAATAGCACAATCAAAAATTATATACATTGGAGACGTATCAAGCATCCCCAAGCTTAATTCCTGCTCGCCCTCGAGTAGGTAAATGATAAAAACAGAAGGAATGCTACCTAACATATTTATTCATGTAATTTCTTTATTGTGGGATGTTCATATCCGTGTGATTCAAAACAAAAGTTTAATATTGACATAAAAACAATAATACTTCAAGCATACTAACAAGGCAATTATGTCTTCTCAAAATAACATGGCCAAAGAAAGCTTATCCCTACAAAATCATATGGTCTGACTATGCTCCATCTTCATCACACAAAATATTCAAATCATGCACAACCCCGATGACAAGCCAAGCAATTGTTTCATACTTTTGATGTTCTCAAACTTTTTCAATTTTCACCTAATACATGAGCGTGAGCCATGGACATAGCACTGTAGGTGGAATAGAAGGTGGCTGTGGAGAAGACAAAAAGGGGGAGATGGTCTCACATCAACTAGGCGTATTAACAGGCTATGGAGATGTCCATCAATAGATATCAATGTGAGTGAGTAGGGATTGCCATGCAACGAATGCACTAGAGCTATAAGTTTATGAAAGCTCAAAAAGAAAAACTGCATCCAACTTGCTTTCTCATGAAGACCTAGGGCAATTTGAGGAAGCCCATCGTTGGAATATACAATTCAAGTTCTATAATGAAAAATTCCCACCAGTATATGAAAGTGACAAAATAGGAGACTCTCTATCATGAAGATCATGATGCTACTTTGAAGCACAAGCGTGGAAAAAAAGGATAGTAGCACTGCCCCTTCTCTCTTTTCTTGGGCCTTCTCTTTTTCGGCCTTTTCTCTCTTTCTTTTATTTTCTCACATGGGACAGTGCTCTAATAATGAAGATCATCACACTTTTATTTACTTACAACTCAAAAATTACAACTTGATACTAGAACAAAATATGACTCTATATGAATGCCTCCGGCGGTGTACCGGGATGTGCAATGACTCAAGAGTGACATGTATAAAAAATGATAAATGGTGGCTTTGCCACAAATACGATGTCAACTACATGTGAAACTGCTAGTTATCGACTAGGGGGGTGAATAGGCGATTTTTACGAAAGTCTTCAAAACACGAGGTCTTTGAAGACACACAGATGAAACAAACCTATTGATATGCAGCGGAAGATAGACTACACTAGAC